TCAAAGTAAAGGTGAGGTATTGCTAACTTTTGCAGCAATAGACTGGTTCAACAGTTTTGAAGCCAGACTGGTCAAAATGAAAGATAACAGAAACTTTCCGCATTAATTAAGTATTAATAAAGCAAATCTCGGTAAACTAACTTTCAGGAGACACCCTGTTTATATATTGTTGTATTTCGTGCAGTTGCATGAAGAGCAAAAAGTTTATTTACAATGGATGCAGAATGCAATTTATGGTGATTCGTGTCCGGCAGTCAGTTAGCTCGTGGCTGTCATCTGATTGAGGACAAAATCTTGAATTCATTAGACGCGATAGGGGCTAGACAAAGCTTGTCTGAAAGTAGGGATTCCGCTGACTCTCTTTGGCGCTTTCTGTTCTCTCTTCATCTCCACTTTCAATCATCGTTCCCACTTCTTCATCCTCCTCTTCCACCTCCGAATCGCTATCACCCTCCCTCTTCAGCCCGGTTTCGGATCGATCACTCTTTCTAGTACCGACCTTTTTACGCTTGGCCTCCGAGCAACGATGGTTAGAACTTCTTTCCAACTCCGTCTCAACAGCTCGGCCCTCTCGGTGAAACTGTACCCTGCCACGGCAACCGGTCGAGGTGCCGTTGGCAGCAGTGCGCCATTGGACCAAAAGGAGTGGATCAATAGTCTGGTAGACACCTGAGGTGGTTGAGTATCCGATTCCCTCTCCTCCGTCTCCTCCGGCCTGCTCTCTTCCTCCGAATACAGAGTTGACTGATGCTGCCATGGGGCCGGTTCTGGTAGGGACGGCGGTTGCTGCGCTCGTCTTTCTGCCTGGCTGGCGGGCTGCCTGAAGAGGAGGTGGCCAGGGAAAGTGATCGGCTGCAGCCTCACGACCATTGCAGACTGTAGCACCGCCGTCGCCAGACTTGCCGGGTCCTGACACGGTGCTGGTTCTGGTCGAGACGGACGCCAGTGCCGGGTCGCCAGCTTGAGCGTAGCGCGGCGTGGCGGCGCCAACGCCGTCTGGGATGAGTCCGGACGAGATGACGGTGACTGGCAACAGATGCGGCCCCGAGCCAGCTCGGCTGGGGCTGCGGACACCGGGGAGCCCGCCGCAGGGCGATGCGCGTACTCGAAGCGTGGCGGGCGAGGTGAACTGTATCAACTGCGGCCCGAGTGTGGCGCCATGAGCGAGAGCAGGACCCCTGACGTAGGGTCCGACGAAGCCGGGAAACAGGCTGCCCGAGTTGTCGAGGCTACAGGCTAGACTGCCGGAGGGCATCAGATCGTAGGTGGGCTCCACTGCTGTACTGTGTCCTAGAGACGGGTGCAGGTGGCGAACGGGTGTCTGGTAGACTATTTGCTCTTCTCGGCTCGTGTACTCAGGCAGTCCCGCTAAGAGGTCCGAAGGCAGTTGCTGAGCATCCATTTGTAGGAGAGTGCAAATCTAAGACAGCCGAAAAAATGAAAGAAGCGAAGAGGGACTTCAAGTAATCTCTAAACCGTAGCTACGAAGACCAAGAAGGTGTAGCCTTTGGTTTTTAGTAGCAGTCTTCTTTAGCTCTATAGGGTTGGCTTCATCTAGCTTTTAAGCAAAATTGGATTTTGAAGAATTATTTAATGGTATGTTCTGAATTTCGAAGGAAAAGTTGGTAGGGAAGAATTCGGAAGCTGAAAAAGGAGTAAAGCCTGTTGGGTATTTCACAGGATCATTAGTGTGGCAGGACGGTGAGCCGAGGATTTCTTCGCAAGTTCCAACATTCGCTACACTGTCTTCAGTTTCCGATGAAACCTTTTCGATAATTCCTTTCAATTAACTTTTCCTACGAACTGGAAATTCACATCACAACTAATAAATTTTTCCCAACTTGGTCGGAGCAACAGGAAGACCATGTGTTACATATCTTGTCCAGCCTCCTCTGTCATAGAATTCATGATAATCTCCCGCATTGGACCGCCAACTCGATACATTCCCAAGTACCAAGTCAAGGGTCCGATCCTGTAAATTACCCTGAATTATATGAGAGAGGAGGCAGGACTATGCGTGTTCCAGAAGGACTCCCCGTCACTCCGACCAGTCTGCTGTGGAGTGTCTCGCAGCTTCGTATTTCTTTGAAATTTCATGTATCGGGTACTAGAACGTCAAGTGAGCAAAGTAACGCAAAAGCCGAACTAAACGGCTACTTCTGAATGCTGTATTTGAGCACACTCTGTGTGTACACTATACGGAATTTGCTTTATATTCACTTACATGAACCAGGCGGGTTTATTCCAGTCGTCCCCAATTTTTTGAAACGAAGACTT